AAAATCGATCAACTGTTGGAGCAATTGTTAGAAAATAGAAGAGGCTAAAGATGACTGTCAGTCTCCCTCGGACTGGAGCTCCATGCAAGATCTCACCTCGTGGGGTATCACTGATGATAAGAAAGGTGAGGAATCAGCCCAGAACTACAAGGGAGAAGCTGGTCAATGACATGAAGAGAGCTGGGACCACAGTTTCAAAGGTCACAGTCGGTAGAACACTACACCATCATGGTTTCAAATCATGCATTGCACGGAAGGTTCCCCTGCTCAAGTCATCACATGTCCAGGCCCGTCTAAAGTTTGCCAATGACCATCTGGATGATCCAGAGGAGGCATGGGAGAAAGTCATGTGGTCAGATGAGACCAAAGTAGAACTTTTTGCTCTAAACTTCACTCGTCTTGTTTGGAGGAAAAAGGATGAGTTGCATCCCAAGAACACCATCCCTACTGTGAAGCATGGGGGTGGTAACATCATGCTTTGGGGCTGCTTTTCTGCGAAGGGGACAGGACGACTGCACTGTATTAAGGAGAGGATGAATGGGGCCATTTATTGTGAGATTTTGAGCAACAACCTTCTTCCCTCAGTCAGAGCATTGAAGATGGGTCATGGCTGGGTCTTCCAATATGACAACGACCCGAAGCACACAGCCAGGATAACCAAGGAGTGGCTCCGTAAGAAGCATATCAAGGTTCTGGAGTGGCCTAGCCAGTCTCCAGACCTAAATCCAATAGAACATCTTTGGAGGGAGCTGAAACTCCGTGTTGCTCAGCGACAGCCCCGAAAACTGACAGATCTAGAGGAGATCTGTGTGGAGGAGTGGACCAAAATCCCTGTTGCAGTGTGTGCAAACCTGGTCAAGAACTACAGGAAACGTTTGACCTCTGTAGTTGCAAACAAAGGCTTCTGTACCAAATATTAACACTGATTTTCTCAGGTGTTCAAATACTTATGTTCAGCAGTGCAAGACAAATAAATTCTGTAAAAATCATACAATGTGATTTCCTGAATTTTTTTTTAAAATTCTGTCTCTGAGTGGGAATGCACCTACAATGTGAATTTCAGACCCCTCCATGATTTCTAAGTGAGAGAACTTGCAAAATCGCAGGGTATTCAAATACTTCTGTTCCTCACTGTACCGCCATTTGTAAACACTATAACTTTCATGTAAACCAAGTAATTTCCAGGTATTGGGATTTTTTGTAGCAAAGACATGTAGCAGAATACATTTTGGCCTAAATTTATGATGAAATTTGCTTTTTAAATTTTTTTTACTAGACATATTTAATAGCAAAAAGTCAAAAAAGTTTTTTTCTCAAAATTGTCGGTCTTTTTTTTTTTTATAGCGCAAAAAATATAAAACACACAGGCGATCAAATACCACCGAAAGAAAGCTCTATTCACGGAAAAAAAGCACGGAAACGTTAATTTGGGTGCAGCGTTGCATGACCACGCAATTGTCAGTGGTTAATGTTTATTTATTAGAATGGCTTACCTGTATCCACAAAAAAGCTTTAGAAAAGCCAAAAATAAAAATTACATTTTCTATTTAGCTGTAATATAGCCCAAAACACATTCCTTGTGGATACTGGCTCAGACTATTTTCCATGTGGTTCAATACAAAGCCAAAGCAAGACTATTTTTGCTCTTTTGTGTCAATCTCTTTGCAATGTCTTAGGGCTCATGTACACTGCAGCTGTTAAACTGACGTTTAGGAGCTTTTCTGCATTTTTTTCAGCAGCCCCTGAACTCTCCCTAATGTTTTCCTAGGTTTCCGTGTACACTATATCATTTACAGTCGTTTACAGGCAGTTGAGTTTACAGTTGTTTTTTTTAACTCACCAAACTTGCGTTCAGGAGTAGATTTTACCAGCATTTTAAAGCCAAACGCTAGTAAACGTGGTTAACCGCGTTTATAAGCGTTTGCATTTAGAAGCATTTTTTAACTTTTCCATATCCAGATGTTGTTCAGAGCCTTTTTTTCATCATTAGAAATGCATGCAAAGCGTTTTTCATGTATTCAAATGGACCTCGTACACCAGTGCAGTCAGTTCCAGGTTTCGGGTGAAGGAAAAAATGGTAGAACGTGCCGCATTGTGCTCATGATGGAATCCATAGTGAATACAACCAGATAAGACAGGTCATCTCAACACATACTGCTCTCTCTGCTTCTGCTCTCTCTATTTCTCTCAAAATGTCTGAAATAGTTAATTATTTACTATTTTTCAGTGCATTCTGGACATTTGGAAGGTCTCCTGAGGTTATCTTTTAAAAACGCTTCTGAACGCAAATGTGCATAAACACGGTATGCAAACGTGGCTAAACTAACGTTTTTTTAACCTACCTTTGCCAGCAGTCAGTTTCCATCATTCAGAAGAGTTTCCAAATGCCCTGTGAACATGAGCCCTAAGGGTCTATTTTTTTAAGTGGTACCCCAACACATTAAAGCAATGCACATGCATTTCAGCACACTGCAAAATACCATTGGATCTATTTCTTCGGTTAAGGGAAACAATTGGAAAAACAGTGTGAGGAAGTAAAAAATAGCCCAAAGAGTGAGGGAATAAAAATAACAGGAGCATTTTAAATTATAAAAAATAATGTCAGATTTTGTCATATCTAGTTTCATGTTTCCTGGGAAACATGTTATTGACATGTGTATGCAGCATGTGATAAATTCTTTACTATCCCTCATACAAAATGAAGGATTTTAGAAAGGATAACATCTTTAGATAACAGAAACCCCCTTGTTGTAGGATTAGTGACCTTTTCTAGTTGGGGAGTGTCAAAGATCCTTGTGGCTATGACAAAAACAAAGGTTCCTTTTATAAATTTGATCAGAGACGCTATTTCTGTATCCTAATATTCATGTGACTTTCACATTAAAGGCTAAAAAGTATCTTCTGGAAAATAACTGTTTGATAGTCCTAAATAAACACATGGAACACAAAGCCATTCTAATGGAAGTCAGGCGGAACAGTTCAAAGGCAACTTTGTATATTCTAGCTCCGAAATCACTTTTAGCCAAACATTATCTGTTCATAGTGGTTTTTATTATGTTTGGGTATCATGTACTTCAAATTATAATTTTGTTGTATACACCATAATCGACACCTAGTAAACAATGTTGTTCAAATCAGCAAAGTATCAGTTTGTTATCTCTTCTACCAATACATTTTACTGATATATATATTGTATATATCTGAACAGAAAGTGAGTTACTGCTTATTTACAATAAATAGGTAGTCTTTCAAAAACCACCTTTCCTTAGTTTTGTCAAACTGGTCAAATTAGAATTACAAAAAATGTAGATGTACTATCTCTCATTGCCAGTTACTGTCTCTAGGGCTAATTAAGAAGAACTGAAAACAACCATGTGCAGAGAAAATGTTTCCATCTTTTAAAAAAAATCATATGCAGGGTAGCTGACAGAGTTGTGGTCAAGATGCAGGCTGTGGTCACAAAAAGAATTAGCAGAAAAAAGCCATGGTCAGAAACTAGCCAGGTCAGCAATGGAAAGTCAAGGTAGAAACAGGTCCAAGACAGGCTGGGTCAGTAACAGGCTGAAAAACAAAGACAGGTTCAATGGCAAGCTGACTAAGCAAGGGTATTCAGTGTAATAGCAGGTCCAAGGGTAAGCTGGGTCAGTAACGTGAAGGCAGAGTAGCAGGGACATTTTTACCACAAGGCAAACAAGGCATTTGCCTACGGCGGCATATTTCAGGGGGGCAGCACAGCCCCCTGAAGAAGGGACACATGTGGCATGGGGACCAGGTGGGATCCTAGAGAGGTTGCTGGCTGCTTGATGGTGTATGCAGAGCCTGACACTTGTTCCTGGGGATGTTCACAGCTGCGAAGGTGAGTGTCGTTCTCGACAAGGGGGGGGGTGTTAGTGGAAGGCTCTCAGGCGGGGGGTGGGCAGGGGTGTGGTTGGTCAATGTCAGGTTCTCTCCATGGGGTTTTTGATTTTTGTGTTGCCTATGGGAACCTAAATACATCACTGCAGAGTAGAGGTAGGCCAAAAGACAAGTTGAATCAGCAACTGATAAGCAAATAACAAGAACAAGTCCAAGATGAAGACCACCCAGAAAATTCTTAGCTCAACTTTGCTCCTTAACCAGTTTCCAACCGCGCTATAGCCAAAGGACAGCTACAGTGCGGTTGTGGAATCCTGGGAGACATCCATGGACGTCATTCCAGAACCCACCCCCCTGTGCACCCCCAGTGGCACGCTGATCACGGGCTACGGTAAACTGCCAATCTCTGCGGCCTTTTACCACGTGATCAGCTGTGTCCAATGACACAGCAGATCACCAGGTAAATACAGTTGCCGCTTCTCGGCTGCGCTTTCCTCACGCTGTCACTGAGAACCAGCAGTTGTCAGCAAAGGGATGTCCCAGTAGTGCCAACCACCATATAACATATGTACTTTCTACACAAACCATTTTGTAACTTAGTGTTAATAATATTTCATTTACATCTCAGTCTGCAGCCTCTTTTTTTTTTTAACTGTTGAAAAATTCAGGGATCACTGCCTAGAGGTTTTCTATATACCATAAGTGAACAGAATACTCCCAGAAATGTAATTTTCTGCTTGTGTAATTGATTTGCTGCTTTCTTCAATATAATACAAGTTAACATTGAGGCATCCCCTACATTAATTTTGGTGAGATACTCTCTAATACCTGTCATCTGTTAAAAGGGACACAATTTTGGTCATTTCATCATTAGAACAATGACTTTGCCCAGGTGTTTACACTGAAATCAGTATAAGAAATGGCATGGTGAAATAAACAATTATCTGTTCAGAACAGAGCAAGGTAAAAATCTGCAACAAAGTATTTTAAATCATTGCAATATATACAGTGCACCTAAAGAGGATTTTTTTTTCAACAAAACTAGAGTTACACTTTAAATGACAATGTACTCATGTACTCAAAAATCTAACTTCCATCAATTTGTTGTTTGCCCAGATAAAAGACAAAGAACGGACTTGTCTGAGATGTTTGCCATACAGAAATCTGAGGCCTGTGCTCATCAGTCTCCATTTTATGAGCCAAAGTCTTTGGGAAGCCTTCCATTCGCCAATGTGAAGGACAGAAAGCAGGATACCAACTTTAATATTCTGGAGGAGGCCTACGATAAAAATGAAAACTGGAGGAAGGACAAGAGGGAAGGAGATGACAGAGAAGAAAAACTTAATGAGGAAGAGGACCAACTAGCTGTAGAAGACAATAGGACCCATCAAAAGAAAATAGCGATGGCACAATTAAAAGTAGCCAGGTCTGAAGGGATTAGTTTGTCTTCGTCAGAGGAAGAGGTTAGGAGCCCACCTGAAGGTGCCGAAATTATGCAGCTAGGAGGGGATACACCTAAAGATAAACCAAGTGGCTGTAATGAATGGGCCAGTTCACCACTAGAAGACAATGGTTATGCTAGCAGTTCACTTAGCATTGATAGTCCTGACAGTATCACTATTGACGCATGGGATGATGATAATACATCAGTCCCAACATCCACACAACAGGAAGTACCTGAAATAGAAAATTCTGATGATGAGTCCTCAACAGATTCAGAATCCCTTACACAAACACTAACAGAAGCCTTCCAAAGTTTGCAGGACAAGGAGAAACTAAAGGAATTAGAAAAGGAAAAACATCATGCACAGTTAACCATGTATAGACGGCTGGCTCTCCTGAGATGGATCAGAGGCCTCCAACAACGGGTTAAGGATCAGCAGAACAGGCTTCAAGAAAGCTTTGACACTATTCTTGACAACCGCAAAGAGATCTTGAAATACATCCAGCATGGCTACAATAAATCACCTACTAAAGAAGCAGCATGAAAGCTTTAGAAGATATAACTTATACCTCTTCTACATCATTTAACTACATCTCTCATCCCAAAGTTCTTTTGACCTTTAGACAAAGAACAGAGAGAAGACAGTCCACACAAATGAAGGAAAGCAAAGAATAGATGGATCTTTGTCATCCTGTCAAAATAATAATGTCTTCTATGGTAGCTTATATCTATTTCATCCAGAAATAACACTAGTTATTAATTATTAGTGTTTATTCATTTTTGTGTTGCAATTTGCAGACCATAACAAACTGTAAAATGGTAAAGAGTCCTAAATGTCAAAACTGTTTCATCTGTATTGTCGAATACATGTAAAAGGAGTAAAATAAGCAGTAAATTCACACAAGGGATCTATTTTCCAAAAAGGCATGTATTGTCCTCAAACAAAGCTTTTCAGTGTGTGAAACAGCTTGTCCAGAAGTGTGTTTAGTGTATGTCTTGCCTACTGTCTTCATTGAAGGAAAGTCTCGAGCTGAGTGCAAAGTAAAATGTATTAGCAAGATCCAACAGACAAATATACTAAAACATATGAGTTCGATTATTTTATATGTCATATAATTTTTTTATTATTTATATGTTTTTTATATTGCTGGAGAATAATATGCAAGGTAAGGAAAGCATGTCTAGTATATAGCTGTGATCTTGTTCAAATACAAGAAAAGTTATCACAGAAGACGAATCAAAGATTCAGGCAGTCAGAAGCAGATTAGATCTTTTGCATTTAAGTTGGGTTCTTTTCTTATTAATAAAGTACTTAGAAGCAGGAGTACCCAAAAAGTTTGCTTTATCTCCAAGAGAAAATGACTGTTATAGACATGAACCTAAATATTTTAGAGCTTACGCGCAGAACTCTAACAACCATTTATTTTGGGCACTAACCCACCTTTTAAAAATAGCTTCCTGCATATCCTAGGAGGCTTCAGGTTGCTGGTGACAACATTCACCACTTAGGTTGGGCAAAAAGGTAAATAAAAGTGGAAGAATTGAAATATGCCCAATGGATCTAGAGGGTGGTTCTATTTAAGTATATGTAAAGCCAAAATTAACGTTTAACACTTTAGTCCTGGCACTTCCTTTTATGTGTGACAAAGCTCACCCACTGCCTTACATTGCAGGGGTGGCATTGTCAACCTGCTGTGTGTCTTCGGGCTGCCCGCAAGACTTTTTACCTAATAGGAGGGGGATAAATTTAAAACCTGGGACAAATGAGTGAAATTAGTGGAAGTGTCACCTTTATGAACGCTCTTTCCAACCTGCCACTCAAGCCAGTTCCTTCAGAGGCATAAAAAAAATATTTTTATTTTTTTATAAAATCAAAATATTTTAACATCAGGGAATGCCTTGTCTGGATATATTTAATTTTCAAGGTATTGGGCTCGCATATGCACTAATGGTTTAATATTTTCCAGACAAGTCAACATGAGATTTAGTATTTAAATATTTTAGAATATAATGACTCTTCCTTGATTTCTTCTTTAAATGGTTTAGCAGTGATCCTCTCAATGATTGTATGAACTACGTTTATTGATAAGAGCACTAGAATACCTATGGCTCTTTTTTACTTTATTAAGTAAGGTTTCATTCCTATCAAGGTTGAAAAAAATACAGTACCATAGACCAGGGATGTCAAACTTAATTTCATCATGGGCCATATCAGCATTATGGTTGCCCTCAAAGGGCTGGTTGTATCTGTAGGACTATGTATATCTGCTTATTATCATATTAAATAATTGCTGATCCATTATTGGTTTTAGTAATAACTTAAGATTTAACCTGTGGAGGGTGGGTGCAGTCTGAAAAAAAGGGTCACACACCGTTGGGATCATCCACAAGAAACTTTTTGGAGACTGCTCAGATAGAACATGGTTCTGCCATGGTGTTCTGTCTGAGCAGTCTCCAATAAAGTTTCTTATGGATAATATCAGTGGTATGCAACCTTCCCTTTCAACTTGCATAGATCTGTATTATTCTCATAATTATTATAAGCAGATGTCCAATGCACCACCTTTCTTATATCAGATACCAAGAGCCCCCCACCATGAGAAGTCAAGAGTCAGAAGGAGCTCTGTGCTCCTCTCTGCTGCTGACTGCTGGGACGGGGCAGAGACAAGCCTCTCCGTGGCTGCACAGAGAAGCACAGGATCTGGTGGAGGAGTTCTGTCTTTTTGTCAGCTGTTGACAGTAGGCAAGGTGGGGGCAGAGACGAGATGCATGCCGCAGCTGCAGAAGAGGTGCGAGGGCCACATTAAATGGCCTGGTGGGCCAGATTTGGCCCACGGGCCTAGTGCTTAACACATGTGCCATAGACCATCTCATTTACCCAGCTGATACATATTTTACTGTTTGGCTCTAAACAGCTAGATGCTGCTCCTTATCCTACCATAGACATGACATCTGAGCCAAGATTGAACCATTAGGAACAATCCAAGGGCTGATACTGAATGATTGCTATGCATTATCTCTCACAGAAATGTTGAAACTTTTTGGGAAGTCTCTGTGCAAGCTTTCTATTCTATGCCTCCATGGGTTTTCCACGAACACTTCCATCTTCATAGTCAGGTAAACAGATCATCGATAATTTCATCATTTGCATTCACATTTAGCTGCGGAAGAATGCAAATAACTATAACTTGAAAAAAAAAAGCATACAAAGCCTATATTTTAATTCACCCTCCATGGCAGAAATGCAAAAGTCCCTAATTATGCTGGCAATGAAATTGCCTTTCTGCTAAATTATTTTAAAATAACTTCAGTTCATTAGCTACAAATATCTATAAAAGTTTGAAATGTATGGAAAAAAAGCCATGTTACTTCTTACAACCAATTTAACGTGTATTTTTATGGTTGTAGTGAGACATGGGAACCTACTGTAAAGGACATTGTTGCAAAAGGTGTCACAGACAATCCCAGTCTGCTTCTATCACAGTGCTGAACAATCATTTTATTCTTTGTTCTTTTTTTTCCCAAAATGTTGAATAACATGTCCATCTTTGTTGTCAAATAAATCACATATTTCCATTACCCTATGATATTACTGGGGATTGTAATTCTTTAATCTTTTACAAATGTTAAAATTTAACATATTAAAACATGTAAATTATTTTATGTACATCACTTGTAAATGCAGTAAGAATATTAAAGTATAATAATGTGTCTTGCATAGTAATAAAATTATGATCAAAAATGGTAGCAACTATGTGGAATCAATTTGTCTAAATATGAGGTTATGGTTGTACAGTACCTATAGATCGAACTTTTAATGAGCTCCTAGGCTGGCCATACACTATACAATTTTCTTACAATTTTCTGTCCAATTTCCTTTAGATTTACCTTCAACTATGTAGTGCAGGCAAGGGCCTGCCTAATTGGATACAATTGAAAGTCTTGTTTACCTTTGACCTCATATTATATCGTTTTTGATAAATCTAAAGAAAAAGAAAAATTCTCAAGAAAATTGTATAATCTATGGCCAGCCTTAGACAGAGTAGTAGATAGTAAAAAAAACTGACAAGCGTTAAGCCTTTAAAGGGCACTTGTATTGGTTTTCAGTCTTTGGATAACTGCTATGCAATATTTCATTCTTACCAGACTAAAAGAGAAATATTTTGTAAATGTTACTGACAGGGGTGTATTTACCACAAGGCAAACAAGGCATTTGCCTAGAATGGCATATTTCAGGGGGGGCAGCACTGCCCCTTGGAAGAAGGGGCGGAAGTAGGGACACACACGGCATGGGGACCTGGTGGGTTCCGAGAGATGCTGTGGGCTTCACGATGGTGTGTGCACAGCCCGACTCTCGTTCCTAGGGATGTCCGAGCTGTGAAGGTGAATGCCTTTCTCTCTCTCACCATGGGGGATGGTGGTTGGTGTATGGGGGGGCAGTGGTAGTGGAAGGCTCGGGTGGAGGGCAGGGGTGTTCTTGGTCAATGTCAGGCTCTTTCTGCGGGAAGAGGGGGGGGGGGCGGCGCCAATTTTTTGTGTTGCCTAGGGCAGCACAAAAACTAAATACACCACTGGTTACTAACCATAATAAGGAAAAAGAAACCACTGTATGTATAAACACTATACATTCAGTTTAAGGTAGCAACGGCTCTTATACAGTGAGGAACAGAAGTATTTAAACACCCTGCGATTTTGCAAGTTCTCCCGCTTAGAAATCATGGAGGGGTCCGAAATTCACATTGTAGGTGCATTCCCACTCTGAGAGACAGAACTTAAAAAAAAAATTCAGGGAATCACATTGTATGATGTTTAAAGAATTTATTTCTCTTGCACTGCTGAACATAAGTATTTGAACACCTAAGAAACAGCAAGAATTCTGGCTCTCAAAGACCTGTTACTGTGCCTTTAAAAAGTCCACCTCTACTCCACTCATTAATCTAACTTAGTAGCACCTGTCTGAGCTCTTTAAAGACACCTGTCCACCCCACAGTCAGTCAGACGCCAACTACTACCATGGGCAAGACCAAAGAGCTGTCAAAAGACACCAGAGACAAAATTGTGGACCTCCACAAGGCTGGAAATGGCTACAGGGCAATTGCCAAGCAGATTGGTGAAAATAGATCAACTGTTGGAGCAATTGTTAGAAAATGGAAGAGGCTATAGACGACTGTCAGTCTCCCTCGGACTGGGGCTCCATGCAAGATCTCACCTCGTGGGGTATCACTGATGATAAGAAAGGTGAGGAATCAGCCCAGAACTACAAGAGAGGAGCTGGTCAATGATATGAAGAGAGCTGGGACCACAGTTTCAAAGGTCACTGTCGGTAGAACACTACACCGTCATGGTTTCAAATCATGCATTGCACGGAAGCTTCCCCTGCTCAAGTCATCACATGTCCAGGCCCGTCTGAAGTTTGCCAATGACCATCTGGTTGATCCAGAGGAGGCATGGGAAAAAGTCATGTGGTCAGATGAGACCAAAGTATAACTTTTTGGTCTAAACTTCACTCGTCATGTTTGGAGGAAAAAGAAGGATGAGTTGCAT